TTGCACACCAAAACTTATCCGTGGTAAATTCCTCACGGAAATCTTAAGGAAATGGATTGGGATTTGCTTTACTTGATCATGGTGCTTAGGGCAATATAAGCATGCTTAGGGTGTATTGACTTGCGCTACGCGCAATGCCGCGCGCTGCGCACGGTCGCGTATGCGTGCTACGCGCATGGTTACGCACGGCGTGCGTGCATAGTGTACCTTGTGTACACTCATGTCTTAACATGATTTGACTTTGAAATTAAATCCGAACATTCTTAACTTTCAATAATTAATCCCGATTAATAATGTCCGTTTATAAAATAAATGATTCGGAAATTAATTATCGACTTAACTCGGTTAATAATTAACCGGATAGACTTTTCGACTTAAAGTCGAACTTATTCGCTGAAAATGAACGAGAATAATAAAAGGAAATACATCACTTTTATTAACAAGAAACTGAGTTATTACAATCTACCCTCCTTAAAATATTTCCGTCCCCGGAAATATACAACTGAACATATATACATGATACAAGAAAAGTATATACATCAAAACTGGAAATCAGGAAAACGAGCGCGGATGTCTGCTTCCTGCTCCCAAGTAGCTCCGTGGCGATCCCACTGAACGCGAATAAGGGGAACATTACGCTTCTGGAGTCGTCGAACCTGTCGGTCCAACACAGCTATCGGTCGCTCCTCATAAGATAAATCAGGATTGATCTGAACATCGATATGCGGAATAACATGATCGGGATCGCACACGTATTTACGCAACATAGATACATGAAAGACATTATGAACACTGGATAACTCGGGAGGTAAGGCTAATCGATACGCAACTTCGCCCACTCGCTTGGGAACCTAGAACGGGCCTATGGACCGAGGGTGTAACTTCCCTCTCTTCCCGAATCGAACAACTCCGCGAGTTGGGCTAACTCTAAGAAAAGCTCGTTCTCCGACTTCGAACTGAATATCACGTCTATGCTTGTCGACCGATGATTTCTGCCGACTTTGCGCTGTTCTAAGCCTCCGTCTGATAAGCTCGACTTGCTCAGCTGTCTCCTCGATCATTTTCGGACCGAGTACTCGATGTTCGCCAACATCGTCCCAATAAAGGGGCGAGCGGCATTTACGCCCGTATAGTGCCTCGAAAGGAGCCATTCGAATCGACGCCTGATAACTGTTGTTATATGCGAACTCAACTAACGATAAAATCGACTCCCATTTAGCACCTATGTCTAACATCAACAGTCTGAGCATATCCTCGAGCATCTGAATAATTCTTTCTGTCTGACCATCTGTCTCTGGATGGTAAGCCGAACGGAAATGCAACTGCGTACCCATCGCTTCGTGTAAACTCTTCCAGAATCTGCTAGTGAATCTGGAGTCTCGATCTGACACAATGTGGGCGGGCACTCCGTGGAGTCGAACGATTCCACGGGTATAAATCTCGGCTAACTTCTCCATTGACATGGTCATCGATACAGGCAGGAAATGGACGACTTTCGTCAATCTGTCCACTACTACCCAGATCGCATCATGGTGATCGGACGACTTGGGCAGCCCTGTAACAAAATCCATCGAAATCTCCTCCCACTTCCACTTTGGAATCTCAAGTGGTCGTAGAAGGCCTAAGGGGCTCTTGTGTTCGGCCTTAACCTGCTGACAGACCAAACACTTTCTTACGAAACTGGCAACATGCTTCTTCATTCCCCTCCACCAGAAAGACCCTTTCAGGTCATGATACATCTTGGTGTTACCGGGGTGAGCTAGATAAGGCGCGGTGTGTGCCTCTGTCAAGATCTCCTTCTGCAAGGCCTCGACCTTCGGCACTACTATCCTGCCTCGGAACTCTAAGGCGCCATCTGCGCCTCGAGAAAAACCCTCGACTCCTCTGGCGGAAACCTTGGCCTTAATAGCACGTATAAACTGATCATGAGTCTGTTCCTGCCGGATTCTGTCTCTCAATGTAGGCTGAATTTGCATCGAGCTAACACTCCTTGTAATCACTGCAGGAAGTGACTCGACGACTTGGATCTGCATCCGGGCAAAGTCTTGAATAAGAGAACACTGCTGAGTAATAGAACAAGATAACTCGCCTTTTACCTTTCGGCTCAAGGCATCAGCTACAACATTTGCTTTCCCCGGATGATACTGAATCGTGCAGTCATAATCT